AAGAAGAAGAAGAAGAAGAAGAAGAAGAAGAAGAAGAAGAAGAAGAAAAAGAAGAAGAAGAAGAGGAAAGAGAAGGAGGAGAAGGCAAAAATTACATGACCTCAGGAAGATTATATTCTGGAGAGTATACAACCAGAGATGTGCTAGAGTCTGCCAAAAACAGATAGTTCAATGTTCAATGTGTATTTACATCTCTGAAATTGTCAAATACTACAAATCAGGGCTTTATTTATTATTTTGTTGATTGTCTAGAATTAAGAAGAAGCTATGTTAAATGAAGAAGATAAGTTGTGACAGGGGAGTGAGGAGAAATAAATCTGAAAATATATGCTGGACCCAAACTATTACCTTCACTCATCCTACATATCCAAAAAGTTGACAGCTTGTAGTTTCTATCTTCCCAGCATTTTAAGAAATCTATTCCTTCTCACCTTTCACAGTCACTACTCTGAAGCCCTCATCACTTCTCTCCTCTTTTTAGCATTTAAAGTCCAACAGAACCTAGCCCCAACTCAATATGACCCCAAATATCTATATACTTCTTTTTGGTAGCAATTAATTAGAGATAAATTGTGATAACATAAAATAGAATATGAATATGTTATAAAGAAACTATAAATATGAAGAATCAAGAAAAGCATTAGAAGACTTATATGAACTGGTACAAAGTGAAATAAGCAGAACTAAGAAAATAATATAAATGATGATATGAAAATTTTTCTAGGTCAGGCCCAACTCAGACTAATTCAGGTTTGGAACAAAATGAGACTTTGTAGAACATCTGACAGTTAACAAAAGGAGCTTTAGCACAGAAAAGCTGCTCAGTAAGGATACAGAATTGACTGAGTTGGACACGGTTTCTTTGATTCCATATTTTTCATGGTCACCTTCAGGGAGAGAAGCGTGTATGAAGCCCAAGGATCTGTTTTTGTACCTAGTGACCCGGGAGCCATGTAATAGAGAATTGTTGGATCAATTAAATATGGAGAGTGGTTTCATTACCTTTTAGGGTGAAAAAAAAAACTAGCCCAGTCTTCACAGTGTAACTGAAAAGAACAACCACCACCAAAAAACCCTAAAGGACATGGAAGGACAATGACCAAGCCCGACCACAGAAAAATTAAGAAAACATACCTTCCTTCTTTGAAGTGGGAAACCATAACTGTTTTGTTAAAATAAAATAAAATAAAACAAATTTTCTTCCTCTTTCTTTTAAAAATCTTTGTTATAAGCAATGGCTCACTAGGGAGCACACAGAATTGAGTTACATTCAGAAATGAATGTGTGATATACAAACAAAAAGGCACCAATAAAATGAGTTATTTTAAAAATCTTATTTTGATCAATACTTTACAAGTATTCACCTTTTAGTGTCATTTTTCTTTTGAAAAGTTTTTAGCACTGCTAAAATATAAAAGTGACATGTGAGCAGGCATATTCCATTTGCCAACTAATTCCAGTCAGAATTACTGACCCTTCTTCCCATTCTCCTTCCCACTAAGGACACTCCCAATCCTTGGGAAAATCTTGTTTGGTTTGGAGGCTTTTCAGACAGAAATCTTGATGTCTCCTATTATTTGTCATTGATATATTAGTGGCATTGAACATTTAATAAATACTCACAGAAAATAAACCAAACAAAATCCTTCTCCCCTATATAGAAGGAGGGGGTAGGGAAGGGAATCTCAGTTCAGACGTTAATTTACAGCCGAATTCTGAACAATCCCTGTTTAACAACCTCTTCTTAAAACGCACTGTCAAGATGAAAGATAATTTTTAGCATTCCAATAAAAGCAGACCTCTGGGTTTAGTTTTTGAATAAGGGAGATGGGTTTATTTATTCTGGTTATGGACTTCAGAGTCAACTGTCCTTCTCCCATGTGAAAATTCACTTAGAAATTTCACTGCAGGAGATGAATTTGTAACCCATTTCTCATGTTACCTACACACAGAAAAACAAAACTTGATAGCTCAGAGTTTACAGGATGAGAGGATTTCCCATAACTGAGAGTGTATTGGGAAATATGCTTTGTTCCCCCTCCTGAACAGGGAATTCTTAGCCAGAATATTTTCCCCAAAACATGTTCCCTCCACTCCCATCAAGTCTAAGTCTTCCTACCTCCCCCTTTCCAGTCTTTCCTGTGTTTGATGACCTAATAGCATTTTTCCCTCTGCATACTTTGGCACACTCTCATGGTCTGGCTGCTTGAGTGTGTCTGAGTCCACTGAAATTCCTGCATGTTCGCCCAAGATTAAGATGTGGGTCGCGTGTGTCTCTCGCTGGATACGTATTCTTTTTTTGTTCTTTCCCCTTAAAGAAATCTCTCTATGTGCAACGTGTCTTGGGGGGAGGTGGTTAGGAGGGAGGGGGCAGATGTGAGGAACTGTCAGACTTGCACGTTTCCAATCGCATTACGTGAACAAATAGCATAGGAGCAGCCCTGCCAAGAAACGCTTGTGTAACTTTGCAAATGTGCCAGAAAGTTTAAAATCTCGCATCCCTCCTCCTCCTTCTTTCACTCCAGACACCAGCAAAAGCAGGACGACTACGATGAGAGGCTGCCCACCCGCTATTGCTTCTGCTCTTCTCCCCATCATTCTTCTATAAACACTGGGAAAGGGGGGGGAACGGGTAAGACGCCACATCCGCGTTGTCTGTTTTATTTTTTACAGTCTATACTCTATCCTTGGTGCTCCTTAGGTAGCTGTTGAAAGACGTCGGTAGACGGTTTTTCCTTCCCTCACAAGTGATTTTTTTTCCCCTCCCTGTTTTTATTTCTTTAAGCAAGCCTTTTCGTGTCTGTGGAGATTAAAGGAGAGAGAAAGAGATGCATTTCCCTTCATCCGCAGTTATCCTTGTTCGGTTTCATCTGTGCGTACACTTGGGCTACATTTTGCAAGTGGCCTGCCAGCAGCCCCGACGAGACCCTCCTCCCCCAGCCGTATGGAGGCAAAGGATTCAGTGGGAGAACAATGGGCAGGTGTTCAGCCTTCTGAGCCTGGGCTCTGAGTACCAGCCTCCGCGCCGGAGGGACTCGGCCGCTGGCTCCTCCGCCCCCTCCTCAGCCTCCTCCTCGCTTCGCCAGTCTCCGGTCCTGCTGCTCAGAAACAACAGCACTTCTCCGCGCTCTCGCCCGCTGCCGTCTGTAGGCGCTCCGGTCCACGACAGCACGAACAGCAGGAGACAGCCGGCGGCACGGCACTGGTTCCAGGCTGGTTATCAGCCGTCTGGGCAACGGCACCAGGGCGGACCGTCGGCGTCCACCTCCCCCGCTAACACTGCCACCACTAGCAGAAGCCCCGGGGGCCGAACGCGGGGCTCCAGCCCTGCGGCCCAGGACAGCAACCAAACCCCTGAGGGTAGCCGCCCCACCCTAAGCAACCTGAGAGGTCCCAGCCGAGTGGATGGCATGGTGGGCGATGACCCCTACAACCCCTACAAGTACTCAGACGACAATCCCTATTACAACTACTATGACACTTACGAGAGACCACGTCCAGGAAGCAGGTACAGACCTGGCTATGGGACTGGATACTTCCAGTATGGTAAGTGACAATCACAAATAAGCCGACAAGCAAAAAATTCGAGATATCTCCCTCCTCCCCGCCCCTGCCCCGGCAAAAACAGCCCACCTTGCTCTTCTCGAGGGAAGCCTAAAGACCCGACTCAGCCAGGACGCCGCACCCGTTCCTATAAGACTTCCTGACCATCACAAAAGACTGCCACATAATCACTCGCAAAAATTCCCCCATTATTTGTCTTCTTTTCTCCTGCTTCCATCCCTCCTTCTACCTAGTCTCAATACAAGCAAGGGTGTTAGTGGAAAGGATCCAGTTCAGGGAGGAAGAGTTTGGAGAAAAGAATGGGTAGTAAGGCTAGACAGGAAGCCGAGGTTAGTAACAGGGTTTCAAGGTGGTGGTGGATTTCTGATTATTCTTGGCCGACTTGCAGGTCTCCCAGACCTGGTGCCAGATCCCTACTACATTCAGGCGTCCACGTACGTGCAGAGGACGTCCATGTACAACTTGAGATGTGCTGCGGAGGAAAACTGCCTTGCCAGGTAGGGGCTGGGGTCTTCAACTGACCCTAATGCGGGCTCTCTGCCTCTCTGCTCTGCTTCTCTCCTCCCGGAGTGTTGCCTGTAGCAGCTGGGGTCCTGGAGAGGTGGGAGATGGGAAGTGAAGAAGCCAGGACAAGCTGGGGATGATGAGACCGAAGAGAGTGCTTTTTTGGTGGGCCCTTGCTCTTGATCTCTCCAACTATTGTGCAGAAGAGGAAGAGTGTGGCTTGGATTAAGACTGTCTGTTTACTTCCTCCAGGATCTTTGGAGTCAAAAGCAATGGGGTCTTGTTGACATGATTAAAGAAAAAGAAATTGTCCTTGACCTGATAAAAGAGCCCACACACTACTATGGGAAGCAGCCATTCCCAGTAAAATTGAATAAAACATCTATAATTTGACCCTCCCCCCCCAAAAAAAACCCCAAAACGTAATTATAGAGCATGTTAATGACCTCTTAGAAGACTGAAAAGTATGTTTGCTACTGTGGTCTCATTCACTTGGCAAAGATTGTTTTTTTCCTCTTTTGGTCGTAGCTGTAATTAACATGTTCTGGTTTTACTTCAACAAGCCTTGAAGCTTTTCTTTTTCAACAGCTTTAGAATAAGGACCCTTAACTTGGTGAGCAGGGTTTGTTAGGTTTTGCTGCTGAACAGCCAATAGAGGGAGCCCTAGATGCTTTAGGAGGTGCCACCCAAAAAAAAAAAAAAAGTTAACATTAAGAAGAAATTCCTTGGCATTTCAGAGAATGGTAGCATACTCCAAGACTAACCCAAAAAATGTATCTGGAGTTATAACTCTGCAAAGTAGGGCAAGCCTTAAGAGGCTTAAAAATGTGCCTTTTCAACCAGCGTAGTGCAACCATTTTTTTTTTTTTGTATTTCAAAAAAAGGATAGAAATGAAGTTAAACTTAGAATACATTTGCACATAAAAACTAAATATTTCAGTTATGTTATATACCCCATAATACTTATTTTTACTGAATATGTAATTTTATTACACAAATAAAAGAAGGTCCTGGAGAAGAACTTCCTCTTCTAAGCAGGAAAGTACCCAGAGCTACTGTGAGGTTGTGATTTACCCAGGGTCCCACAGCCAGTATATGTCAGAGGTTCCATTTAAACCCTAGTCCAGGGGTGGGGAACCTGCAGCCTGGAGGCCACATGTGGCCTTCTAGGTCCTCAAGTTCGACTCTTTGACTGAATCCAAACTTCACAGAACAAATCCTTGGGAAGTTTGGATTCACTCTAAGGGCCGCTCTGGAGGACCTAGAGGGTCACATGTGGCCTCTAGGCCATAGCGTCCCCACCTGCCTAGTCTTTCAGACTGGAGGAAATTTCTCTGTTCAGTGCTCCACACTATCTCTCTATTTACTAATCATGGTAGTTGTCAGTATTTGGGGATGCTGGGCCCAATACCTCTTAAGTTTGTTTATTCTTTTGCTTTGGCTGATTTTGGCCTTTCTGCTGGTACTTCTTGCTTCTACCAAAGGAAGGAAAGGAAAAAGAGATGAGCCTCCAGCAGTACTGCAGTGTCTTTTACAATATTGTGTGACTGTAGTGCTTTCTCATGGACCGAACAGATTTAAATAGTATTTACTTTATTAACTAGCTGTATAATTTGAACCTTATTTTAATGACAGACTTAGACCCAGTATCTAAATACCTGCACTTGAGTCCTAGATGTGGCACTTGCTAGTTTTGTGACCACTGGCAAGAACTTATCTGAACCTCAATAATTATAATACTTGCCCTACCTACTTCGTAGAGTTCTTGTGGTAATTGTTTCATAAACAATAATACATCACATAAATGGGAGCCTTTATTAAGCATTTATTTATCCAATACTGAGAAGTAGCATGGGTTAGTGATAGACTTAGCATCAGGAAAAATGGGATTCTAATCCTGACTTTTGACTCTTAGCAGATGCGTGACCTCTTTGCCCTGGATAATTTCCCAAGACTTATCTACTAAATCATAGAGGTGTTACCATCTAGATCTGCCTTGGTGGACTGGGGTTCCCTGAAAAATATTGATAGATTCCTCTTTTACCTGTGATTTTGGGATAATTTCTTCATTCATTGATTTTATTTTTTTAATTGACTGTATATTACACACAAAATTTGGGGGTAATGGTTGCCCTTTTATCTATCTGGCTTTTAAGTGCCATATATTTATTTCCCTATGAGAAGGGAAGGGAGAGGGGTGAGCAGGAAATCACTATAACTATATTATGACTATTTTTTTCCACAACTGCAGTTCAGCATACAGGTCAGATGTCAGAGATTATGATAACCGAGTGCTGCTAAGATTTCCCCAACGAGTGAAAAACCAAGGGACGTCAGATTTTTTACCAAGCAGACCAAGATATTCATGGGAGTGGCACAGCTGTCACCAGTGAGTGTGCTGATCATTGAATAGTATCTTAAATCTTTCCTTCTCAGTTTTCACCTTGGTACATGTCATGACAGATATGCTTCAACTTACTAATATGACGGATGATGCTTTCTTACCTTCACCCAGTATTTTTCAGTAATTTAAAATCTTCTTTGTGTTCTTTCCATACTTGAGAGAGAAAGCAGTTGCTTAATATCTGGTTCAAAAGTTTCTTAATTACTTGGGAAGTTACAATGAAGTTCCATTTTTTTAATGGAAAGGTTAGATACCAAATTTATTCCACAAAAATAGATTCCCTTCCTTCTCCTTCTCCTTCTCCTTCTCCAACTACAGCAAAATGGCCATTGGCCATCTGTCATAAAACTTTATGCTGTATTTTAATACTGATGGGAGATAAAACATTTTCCCTTTCTTCTCCTTATTAATGAATTAAAAGGTACAAGTATTCAATAAAATACTCATAAGTAGCCAAGATGAAATAGTGGATAGAGAGCTGACTTTGCACTCCAGAAGACTTTAGTCTTATAATAGATAGATATGCACATATGTATACACAATACATATCTATATATATTTATTTATATATGCATGTGTGTATGCATGTATACACACACACATATATGCATATATCTTTATTTATCTATTTGACTAACCATGTGCAAATCATTTGACACAAGAGGGTCCCAGGCAACTTTCTAAGGCTATAAGTTGCAGAACAGTTGCTGAGACCAGCATTGATAGAGTTTCCACATTGAGAGTTCTCTGAACCAATGAAATCATAAGTCTGAACCAAAAATGCATAGATATCTTGTAAACAGTTTTTAGTCTCCTTAATTTCACAAAAGTATTTCCAGGAAAACAGAAAATAATAGTCTGCTCCACTGCCAACTCAAATCATGCCATCCTTCCAATTTTAAACTTGAAGATACTGCCATATCTTCTGCCTCTCTAAATTTTCTCTCTGTTATGCATCTGAAGCTAAGTATTGAGCCTAAAGGGAAGATTGCCTTACAGTTTCTTGACGTTACCTAGTCATTTAACAAGTATTCCACATCGTGCTTACTTTGTGGCCCACTTGGATACTCAATTTTTTTTGGATGCCATTGTGAATAATCATTTATTCCTCATTTTTATTTTTCCGAGCATGTTTTCTTTGTTCTCCCTTCCAGCCATCCCTGTTTGAACTTGATTACCATTTTAAATGTCTACTCCTTTAATTTGTAAAAGTCAACTTGATTTCTGTTCCTGTAATGTGAGAAAGTATTTACTTTCATGGTGATGATGGCAATAAGGAAAACATTGGGTAAATTCCTTATCTCACCCTTCATTTAAATGCTGGCAAAAAGGGTAACATAAAAACTTAATTTCCAATTTACAGATTACTTGCAAGAGATCCCTCTTAGCCTGTTGATAGCTGATGGCTTAATATCATCCTCTTTTCTGTCAGTTTAGGAATTAAAACCTCTCCTGTAGAAAATCAGATACTAGTAAGTTTGGCTACAGAAGTGTTATGTTTAAAAACAAAACAAACAAAACTTTAAACTGTCACCAACATTCTTGTCAAAAGGAAATATTAGTCAGTGCTCTTTGAAAGAAAAGACAGCAGCATCCAGACAGTAAAATGGAAGAGGTACTGGGTTTGGAGTCAGAAGACCTGTGTTTCAAAAACAGCTGTGCTGCTTACCACCTGTGTGACTTTGGGAAAGTCACTTCATTCTTCTGGCCCTCAGTTTCCTTACCTGAAAAGGAGTAAGTTGGATTAGATGACCTCTCTTCTGGATCTAAATTTATGAACCTATTCCAAAGGTCAAGTATCAGCTACTTCCACTTAAAAGTGAATAATTCAGAACTTATTTATTATGAAGAAACTTAATGTAATACAAAAACATTAACCAAAATCATAAGCCTCCTTCCAGAAGTAAAAGTATTAACATTCATTTCCCCAGATGGTTGTCTTTATACATGGAATAAGAAATAAATCTAGTATATTTTTTCATCCTTAAAAATATATAATCACAATTTTAATGTGAAAAGAGATTTTGGTCCAATGATCAAGGTCTTATAGAAGACAGACATTCTATGATATTAGGTTGCTATGAATGAATTGTTTCATGTATAATCCAGTTTTTAATTAACTAATATGCCTTTGTTGAATGGACTATCAGACATTACCACAGCATGGATGAATTCAGCCACTATGACTTACTTGATGCCAGTACCCAGAGCAGAGTGGCTGAAGGCCATAAAGCAAGTTTTTGCCTTGAGGATACTTCCTGTGATTATGGATACTACAGACGATATGCCTGTACAGCACACACACAAGTAAGTTGACATTTCTTCCTACACCCCAAGCTTACTGGTCTCAGAAAGAAATGACATCTCTATTTTTATTCTTGCAATTTTTCTTCTTCGAGTTACTTCATTTAATAATAATAAATTCTTGTCAAAGTAAAAAAATACAGGGAAAATGGAAATGAAGGACTTGCTTTTCATATTGATGCAGATGATATAGACATATATGACATATATATGATATATATAGACATATATGTAGTAAAAAGCAAGTATATTCATTCATTTCCATTATTACTATGGAGAGAGACAAAGAGACAGAAAGACAGAGACAGAGACAGCGAGTTCATTCATTTCCATTTCCTCTGTGTGTGTATGTATGTATATGTTTGTATATATAATCGTTATCCTTTATGGGAGCTACTTCATATATCATAATTAGGACTGTAAGAGTCAGTATAGTCTTTTAATACAGTTTCTTGAATTGGTGGGTAATGTGGATTGGTGTGGGGACATTTTTTTCTATATTGTTTAGCCAATTTGCTAAATTATTTAAATGTCATCCAAACTTTGCACATTTATTTAAAACCACCTTTCCCCTTCACCTTGCTAATACATTATTACGGTGGTTGAATATGATGGTGGTTGAAAATGGTAACTGAAGGGGAAAAGGGAAAGCAAGCTCCTTATAAGGTTCTTTCCAAAAAGTCTGCCTTTTCAATGATACATCTAAGAAGAGAAGGGTATAGTTACTCTCCCATGCATACATGTGTACACATTTTAAATTTCAAAGATAATTGATGTCAGATGCAGAAATCTGGGACTGTTTTTTAAAAAATAGTGCTGAATTAAGCAGTTTGCATATGTTTTATAGTTGGAAAATGTGTGCTTCCATAGTTAAAGCTGTGTCAGTGTTTCCATAAGGAGCCCCAGTTTGTAAGTGGACAATATAATTTCACTCCAGCCTGAATTTTGGCAGGAAAAAAAGTAAATCAACATAATTCAGTCCAAAGCTGATCAGCAGCTGGGATCTTGCAAAGTGAATCTATGTACTAGAGTAGGCAACTTCTTAGGGATGTAAATTTGTGTTATATCTTTTTCTGAACTCACAACATCACAGCAAATAAAGAGAGAGAATATATATTAAAGTCCATGTATTGTTTCAACGTTTGTTCCCCAGAAGAATAAGCTGCATATCTATAAGCAGGTGTATATGTACTATATTATCTCTGTGCACAGATGAATAAAAGGTGACCTGGAATTCATTCTACATTGTGCACAATTCCAAAATATCTTTCAGGTGACATCTAATTGTGTCTTCTGTAGAGCCTGGGGCTGTTTGTTGTTCTCTCTCTTTGTCCCATGCCCTGTAGAGTCCTATTACTTAAAATAAACTGCTTCATTTCTTGTGCCCATATAAGCTGGCCAAGAGTCTGAAGCTGTGCTTGAAGCTGTGCTTTAATGTATACCGATAGCATCCCTACATCCCCTGTTGTACTGAGGGTCACTTCGTGTCATCATATGATAATGTTCTGGCCATGGTCTATTGTCATTCTCTTCATGAACATTCTACTCTGCAGAGAGGGGTTTCCCATCAAACACTTTTATTTTAGTGATTAGTTACATTTTAGAACCTTTGGAGTGAGTTTGCTTTTATTGTTTTACATTATAACTTTCTTGGTTGACTCAGGAAACTCTGAGAAGCCAGATGAGATATGTTTGTCAATCTGAGTCTTTTGTTTTTAAGTGGGAAGTGTCAGAGTTCTAAGTTGTGTGGACTTTTGTTTTTCCCCACATTGGAACAGTAACCTAACCTTGGTTTGGTGTTTAGTTATTAAGATTTAGTTTGCTGCCAGAATTCTATTATTACAAAATTTTGTGTCACATGATTATATCCCTTAGACTACTCTAATAACATTCTATTCTCATTTTTTTTAGGGACTGAGCCCTGGGTGCTATGATACCTATAATGCAGATATAGATTGTCAGTGGATTGATATTACAGATGTAAAACCTGGAAACTACATTCTGAAGGTAGTGAAATCTGAAAATGTATTTAGATTGCAAGCCTCTGTGAACATGTATGGAGTCAGATATTAAATCATCATAAGACTTTACTTGATTTAGAGGAGTCATTTGAGACCGCATCTAAACCAACCCAGACAGATGAGAAAACGTCTTGCTTGTATAATTTTTCTTTGTAATTCATTCAAAGTTTAACAAACCCATCTAACTTAAGCTGCTCAAGCTTTAATTTAAGACGATTTCCTCTTGTTTTAGCCTACATGGAAACAAAAAACAGCTGACTTGTATATAATAATGACATCTGATAAATAAATATTATTTACTTCTATTAGGTCAGTGTAAATCCCAGCTATTTGGTGCCTGAGTCTGATTACTCAAACAATATTGTACGCTGTGACATTCGATACACAGGACATCATGCGTATGCCTCTGGTTGTACAATTTCACCGTAAGTTCCTTCTCTTTTTTATTTTCTTCACAAATATGGTTATTTCCTGGTCTATCATGACATTACTAATATTTTAGTCACTGTAAGTGTATCTCTCTCCCCCTAAACTTAAACTGTGAGTATAGAAAATGTTACAAAATCAGGATTATTACATAATTAAGGCCCATTTTTTTTGCACTGATAGTAAGGGTGGCTGTGCAAAATGATGAGTGTGCAAAGAGTTTTCATTTCTCTGCTTAGAACCAAAATTTCACATAATTGGATTTCATGACCACAGGTTTTATAAAATATAATAACTGTTATCAGGTATGGTTATGGAATGAGATGTTTTTTATTAAATATAAGGCTCTCACATTTGCAATATCATATAACACACTTAATACTTGAAATTATATTAAACATAACTCAGGAAGATGCTCCCTGGCATTGCAAGTGCCTCCATGTCATATATACTGGCAAAATGTCTAAATATTGGGTAATAAGAATTTCTAGCTGGGAGAATCCTAGAGAAGAAAGATTCCTGTCCATAGATTTTATGCCACTATTAACTTGGTTTAGTGGAGCAATAGCAGTAGATGAACCATTTTACAGAAATTGGGATAGTGTTGAAAAGGCGAGCTACAAGTATATTCTACTAACTTTATTGATTGATACCCAGGAAAAAAACAGCATTAACCTGAGGTTTTCTTTAATGAAAATAATAAATGTGGCTAAATGAAATAGTTGAATTTAATTTCTGTAAATGTTGGTGACAATATATCTTGTACATATTAGACTTACTTTTCTGTAGCAGTATCTACTCTTCCTCCTCCTCCTATTACTAGCTAACATTTATATAGTGCTTACTATGTGCCAGGCACCATGCTAAGCGCTTTACATTTATTATCTCATTTGATTCTCACAACAACTCTGTAAGGTTGGTGCTATTATTATCCCCATTTTACAGATCAAGAAACTAAGGGAAACAGAGATTAAGTGACTTGCTCAGGGTCACACAGCTAGTGATAATACATGAATGGAACTTTCCATGTAAATACTTAGGCAAAATTCAACTTGTATAGAAGCTGAAGGGGCAAGTCACAATGTTTTGCACCTCAATTTCCTCATCTATAAAATGAGGACATGGACCAGACTAGAAAAATCACTAAGGTCCCTTTCTGATCTAAAATGCTATTACTCTATATTAAATTCTTATCCCTGGATGCAACTTTTGTGGGTGTCTTTTTTGAGAGAACAATTTCCAAAATTTAATAAATGAAATTAACATTTAAGGAGATATTTTCAGTATTTACTCAGTATGTATGGCCATTAGGCCATGTTGGTTGGTAATTTGTGTCTAGAAAAAAATAAAATCCTAATATGATATTTTAATCTGAAATAATTTTCCAGAACTTCAGTACTGTATATGTGGACTAAAAGAGGGGAAAAGTATTATTTTTTTTTTTGGTCTGTACTGTGATTTCATTGGTAGAGAAAACCTCTTTGTTCATACAGCCATATGTACCAGTGGTGGGCCTTGAATTGAGGTCATCCTGACTCTAAGGTCAGCTTTCTATCCATGACACCAGGCTGCCTCTCATCAATAAAATGAGGTCATTGGAATAGAAGACCCCAACAAACCTTCTTGATCTAAAATTCTATTATTCAATGTTAATTTCTCATCCCTGGATAAAATTTAGTGTTAGAAAATTGATATCTTATAGTTTGGATTCAATGACATTCTTATTTCACATATTCAACCCATGACCATGACTTTCACCTCAAATTCTATTCATAATAGTAATTAATTTACCAATGTGATTGTAATATTTTGCAGTCTTTTACAGAGTATAATCATAATTATTGGCACGATTGTGATTCTTCACATCTTACAGTGTGAATTTGTCTACTCAACACCTCCAGTTTTCCTTTTTAGTAGTGTAGTCATTTTTCAGTCATGTCTGACTCATCATGACCCCTTCTAGGATTTTCTTGGCAAAGATACTGGAGTGGTTTGACATTTCCTTCTCCAGCTCATTTTACATATGAGGAAACTGGAACAAACAGGGTTAAATGACTTGCCGAGGGTCATACAGCTAGTAAGTGTCTGAGGCTGGATTTCAACAAAGGAAGAGGAATCTTTCTGACTCCAGGCCCAGTACTCTATCCACTGCACCACCTGGCTACTTCTTTTCCAACTTATACAATTCTATACATTTTTCATAGGTTTTAACATTTAGAAGTTGAAAGTGCACTCATCAGACATAACCACTTTTCTCAATCAATCATTAGTGATCATTTACTAAGCACCTTAAGCATACAGTTGTTATTTGGGAGAAGGAAATTGCTTCTATATCTTGTGCCTAATGTCAGGAAGAGCAGAATAGGAAAATTTTAATGACTGTTGAATTTCTGCAGAATGTACCACGTAAACCAACTTTTCTTTTCCCCCCTCTCTCTTTTTATTTAGGTACTGAGAGACGAAAAAAAGTAAAATAAAAAAGTGGATGAACCAGTGCCTGATGTTTTGAACTGAAAAACAAAAAAGAAAAGAAGAGAAAAGCAAGCTAGATTAACTTCAGTAGGATGTAAATGTTTGGGAAAGAGCACAGAAAACACAAAAGGAATTATCATTTGGACTGTTTAATAACAAAACATAACTGGATTTTGAGATTGGGAATATTTTCATTTATATTGATGATATAGTTGTGGTGAATTACGCAAAGCATTTCAAATTCCATAGTTAAGATCATTTGCTATTTCAAAGAAACTTACCATGTGGTGCACTGGGAATTGGGAGTGAAAGCCAACAAAATACTTGTTTCATTGAGCTATTAGTGAATGAGCTGAAACTGTTCTGTGCTCAAAAATTTTTGATGTGCTAAGTTACAAAATATAATAATGACCAATTTGTAAATACTAGCAAAAATTAATTTGGAAATGTTAATCCTATCATTACTCCTACAAATAAATATGGAAATATTGGTGCTGAGGAAAGAATACACATTATTGATTTCAAGAAATATTAATATATAGCAGAGAAATGTCAATGTATGTATTAAGATAGTTACATTCCTATATAAAAATTTATGTTTACATTTTTAACATTAGTAGATAAACCCTTTTCTTTCTTCCAAATACTTAACTCAATTCTGACATAAATCAGGTCTAGTTTTCAAATGAATTAAGGAATTGAATCACACAATCCAAGTCTAACATTTTTTATGATGCCTTGTCCATTTCTTTGACCTTGTCTATGGCTAGAGATATTCAAAATTACATTCTTAAAAAGACAAGTCAGGGGACGGTATGAATAGGCTACCATCCAAGTAAGATACAATTCTTATAGCATGGGTAATTTTCAAACTAATAGTAAGATTTAAATAAAGTATTACCAACACTTACCATCTCTTTAGGTCACAACAAAAAAGTAGGTAGCCCAAGTATTACTGCATATTGAACATCTTTTTTAAATGAATGGAAAATACCTTTGTTGTTCCCAATATATTTTTTTACCTTTCATACTTGATATTTTTTACATGAGAATCATTAGCATATTTTATTGTTGAAGAGATTATTCATATCAATAAGATCACAGATCCAATGAAGTATATAAAACTATAATTAAAATATTTTAAATATTATACAGGATATATGACTTACTATGGCTATATAATAAGGAATCATCAAATTAGGTCAGTAAGGAGCTAATCATTAATTTTTTTTTGAAAAGTTTAGCCCAAGTTAGTACATGGCTTTAATTATTAGCATAAGAAAGGGGACACAGGAAAAAAGATATTTTCTGTAAAGTAACAGGCTGTACTGTATAATAAGACAGCTGTGATATTACTTTTAAACTGTGAAATAATTTGCCACAACAGAATTTGGATAGCTTCTGTTTTTCCTGAAAAGCAGAAGATGCAGTATGAGTTGTCTACACTTGAAATAAAACTATTTTAAAGTTAGTGGTGCTTAAGTAGAAATTATCATAAATTAAACAATATCAAACAAACCTAAATTATGATATGCTTTTAAATATTTCCACAAAACGTCACATAGAAAAGTGGATTTACATCTCCATGGTTTATAAAACAAAAAGGTACAATCATTGATAATTACTAGGCACCTGTTGTGTACATGGCCCTATAAAAGGTCCAATCATAGGTAAATACATAGTTTACAGTATGTATCATGCCCTCCAAATGCAATATTTACCAATGTTTAGTAATATACTGTGACATTGAAATAGTCAGAAAGCTTTTGAAGAATCTGTATCTGGGCTATGGAATTATTTCTTTAATTATGATCTTTTCAAGTACAGATGATCTTAAGACACTTATTTTTGAACTACTGTCAGTATTATTACTGAGCCAGACTGGCATTTAAAGATACATATCTTTTTATTAGAAGCATATGATTTAGAGCTGAAAAGAATCTGTGAGAATCTAGTCAATGTCAGTGAGAGCATAGATGCATTTTCATCCATAAAAACCATAACTAAAACATAATTTTACAGATAAGGAAATTGGGACCCAAAGAGGTTGAGTGATTTGCCCAAAGTCAAGATTTGAACATAAATTCAAATCTAGGCCTTTTCTCCATACACCTCTGCTTCTTCACACACTTGTCCTTTAAAAACCTTGATTGGTTTTTGGATACATAAAAATCATAAATGTTCTATTGACGATGCCCTCATGTCCTACTACATTCAATGTATGTGAAAAATTTATCACAATACGTAGCAATGATACAGGCCGAAATGACCAAGCTAATATGTTCCTACCATTTGTGTTCATTACAACCTTTCAGAGGATTAAAGAGCTGAACGGGACCTTATCGGGCACCTGTTCCAAAAGTTTTATTTTCCAGATGAGGGACTGTTTTGATAAAGTTTGTGCTATGAATTTCATTTAAAAGTCATGCAAGTATGTGCTACTAATATTTGTAAGTTTCCTACATCTCAGAAATGGCTGTATTTTTAATTTAATATCGAATATTTTGATTTTTTAAACAAAATTCCATTTACATTGTTTAAGGGAGCCCCAAATGATTGTTTATTCTATATCATCTCTTTCCCCTATAATTTCATTTTTGAGCCCTGAAGAAATAATTTCAAGGAGTGATCACCAAACCTCAAATAAAACCAACATCGATCACTGGTAACAGATATTAATCAATAAAGATCTAAATGAATTGAAAGATAAATAGAAGGCAAAGTTGACACAAAAATAAAGGAACTCTGAAAAGTCTGGCTTCAACTATAAAGGGTCATGGGGAAAATAGGCTTTTAAACTCACCACTTTTACAAATCATCTAGTTTTCCATATCATATGTTCTTTCAGATGGTCTGATAATTCATGTATCTTACAACTGAACTAAAAATTTCTTTGCTGGTGAATAAGATCCAGACTCCCCTAACATTACCATCACATGTTTTATTTTAAGGTAATGCATCAAAAATAAGATTTACATATTTTTAGAAAAGTCTTTATATTTTTGATTAAGAGTTTTATTAAAATATATATTATGTGATCATTTTACTAACCATTGTTTTCAAAAAGTGAAACTAAAAGGACTATGGTCTCAAATACATTTAAAAAATTCCCTTGGAAACTTATCTGAGAGTTATTCTAAAGTTATTCCACATTTCAGATTTTAGAGGAAATGTAACCTATTGAAAACAACTGTGTGAAGCTAGGAGATTAACCATATGTCACTAATCTTTAAAGGGTACAGCTCCTTTCAAAATGCTGCTGGCTGTTATTTGACAAATATAAAATAAGGCTCTGACAAAATCAAATATATATGGAGTAAAAAACAGCTTCATTTTTATTTTGTACCAAAGTTTATTGTGTATGTCAGCTGGCATGTAATTTACTTTCAATTCCTTTCTGTCAAACTTTTTCTTTTTTTATGAAGAATTGTATCTATCCAATCAAAAAAGTAAGTTTCAATCAAAAGCCTCCAAAATTGGTCTGACTTGTTCTATGCTACAACTTGCAATTAAGACATGTCCAGAGATAGTGCTTCAGGTTTTAAATGGTGCTGAGTTATTTCAACTTGAATGTAAACCATATGATTCCATGTTAATGGGAAATGAGCATTTAATGTTTAACTGCAACACTCAGTGAAAAGTCCCTTTACAATGTTATAAGATTTTAGTATCTCCTTCTTTCTTTAGAATTGTCTTTAAAATCTTTATAATTTTATTTGAAGGCTTTTATTTAAAATATTCTGATGCAACATATTCTTCAGTGCACTTTCATATTCTTTTCTTGTATGTCTATATTATGATTGCAAAGTTTATACAAAATGACTTGAATAAACAGTTTCAAGTGTTCTGGTTGTCCAAATGTTTTACTTATGAATAGAGTATGAATTTCAAATTGAATTGAACTGTTTCCCTATGTGACTTTTAAATGATAAAAAGTTCAATTGTGGACAGATAAACATTTGAAAGTAACTGTTATTTTACCTGATTGGGCTCTCATTTGTTCTTTTTTCCTAAACCATCTTCTTTACATTTTAAATACTGGGTTTCCCTATCTGGCCCAGGCTAGAAGTCCAGGGGCTATTCACAGGCGGATTCAGGCTACTACTTATACTACAGGAGCTTTGGCCAAATCCATTTCTGACCTGCAAAAATTTACTCCTTCTTAGGCAACCTAGTGGCCTCTCTGCTCCTAGGGGCTTACCCTACTGATGTAGAAATTAGTGAGGACAATTGATCTACATAGCCCAATGTAGCTCCAAATTCCCCAAGGTCTTGATATCTGTCACCATCTTCCTTACTGGTAGCTGGGATTACAGACATGCTCCATCATGCCAGGTTCAATCTAGGCCATCTTCTAAGAAAGCAGACGTTGCTTTGGCCAGAGAGCTTAGCATGGAACCAAACACACCTCTACTATATTTAAATTTTTTATTAGATTTTAGAGCAAATATACCAGAATCACAGAATCTCAGAGTTAGAAGGAACCCCAGAAGCCATTTGTTCCAATACATGCCTGAACAAATATCCTCTGTACAGCACACCTAACAAGTGGTCACCTAGCCTTTGCTTAAAGGCTCATAACATCATATTATTTCTTTATAAAATAGGGTATAAATTATTTGAATTTGTCTTTCTTATCAAAAGGATTATTTCCTATTTTAAATATATATATATATGTGTATATTATTGTTTCTTGTATTATGTTGACTTTTTGGTATTCCTGCTTGTTAGGGACAGTACTCAAAGCAAACAAAGGCCAATGTGATTCTGGACACAGCTTTGCTGTTTTTTAGGGCAAACTGAGCCTTGGTCCTATCATGTATCATTCCATGATGGTGATGTCCTAATATTTTCTGAGGGACTTTTCACCATTTAAAGGCTTTCAGAGTGTTTACTGACAATCAGCAGTATTAAGGGGAAAACAAAAAAGAAATGCAGCCTCATTTTCCTTGAAGAATCACTATAAAGAAAAAAGAAAAGAAGAAAAAAGATGAGGACACAATCCAGAAAGCCAAGGCTTTTTTTCCCCCATTTGGAAGGACTAAATCTTAGATCTCAACAACCTGGCTTGTGTTCTAGGTGTTGCCACATCTTGACAGTTTATAGTAGGTCTCTTAATGCAAGCTGGTGATGAACTAATGATCTGAAGCAGCCTCAGTAATATCAGGGACATAACACAAATAATAATGCCTTGTCGTGATACAAGGCAGTGAAAAATGAGCAGCAGTAATACCTGGGAAACACCAGGGCCACAGTACAGATGATGATACTTCTGGCACAATTAACAGTTCTTCATCATTTATCAAGGTCATTTGTAGTAAACTGGCCAAGAGGCTAATAAGCCTTCCATGTAACTTGACCTGAGGATCTAAATGGATACCACGGCTCTCCCAGTACTGTTATCAACTCAGTACTGCCTAGCTCACCCACCAAAAACTCTCCCTCCCTGAGAACCATTATCAGGGGAATGATATGAAATCTTTGCCCCCTTAGAAACT